GAGCGCAAATTTACTGACCGGAATGTCCAAGGTTCGAACCCGATCTCTGTCTCTTCCATTCCCCTGTCTAGGCTTGGGCAACCTGATAGTAGCCCCACGCTCGTGCTTCCTTGTGGTGGCATGGCAGCTAGGCACCGGACAGATGTTACAGCTGAACGATTTTTTTTATCTATTATAACCAACAGCTATTTGTTTACTATCTTACTCTCACTTGTATTTACATTCTTGCGTACAAATTGCGGGAGAATTAGATCCCCTGTGTGCATCATGGCGTTAGTAATATGCCTTATCATGACTACTGTCTTTAGAACATTTCGAAAATATGAACTCAAAATGAAAGGCAGATGAATGAGCTTTAGCCAGTTTTCAGCAGAACAAAGACTACTGCACTGTAGGTGTATCCAGAAAAAGAGCTTTGGTCTTATGTTTTGGTGAACCGTTCAGAAGTCTTACATGAATCTGACCAAAGCAATTTGAGCTTTCCATATTCGTTTGGACACCTGATAATCCTGTTACCTGAGGCAAGGAGTTCAGCGTTCTGGCGTAACTCATAACGAAGGTGAGCAGAATTGCGTTTGCTGCTTCCTTATCGCTATTGAGAGGTGAATTATTGTTCTTGGATTACCTTCGATGGTGTTGCATGGAATTCAGCAATGTACTCCTTATCACATTCATGCTAGGGCGACCCCGATAGGGGGAACTCTTGAAGCTCAGACTGATGGGCGTAGAATGATCAGCGTGACAAAATCATGTGATACCATTTTGCGATCAGATTTTCCAAGGACATCTCAATGGGGAGTGATAATCAGACCATGAATCACAGATTTCGTCTAACCAGCAGGGCACACTACGCAGAACTCACGAATTGCGCGTTTTTTCATCGTTAGTACCTTCCAACATAGCGATTATCAAGCTGCCTGGCATCCTTTCCAGTATATCTTCGCGATTCATTCACTCAACAGAGCTCTCTTGACCGAAGCTGAATATTCCAACTTGTAACACTACTCATGAGTAGTAAATGGAAATGCTTCACTTACCATTTTATTAGGTCGCTCTAAATAAAAACTAGAAGTAGACTAGGCCCTGACTTTCCAAATTTTAGAGACCTGTCAGTGAGTGGGCGAGACTTCCGGTATTTGCCCGACTGTCTCCATGAAATGCTATTATTAGCCTCCAAAACGACGTTCCTTACTTCGGTTTAGTCCGTAACAGGTTTTAAAGAGCCGGGAATGGTCAAGGGTCAAACAGTCCGTCAATTCACATGCTGAAGCCTGAAATTCGGATGGTGACACCCAAAAGAGGAACTAGGTAAGCGGACGAAAACGCTTTTTAAATAATATGGTCGAAACGAACCACTCGGTTACCCGTTTATGATAGGTAGGAAACGCAGTACGAACCACTCGGTTACCCGTTTATGATACGTAGCGAAACGCAGTGCGAAGTTCGTCAAGAAATTCCAGACCAATAAAAACAAGAATGCAGGATACGCCTCTGCTAGCCTCACCTTCATCAACAAGGGTAGGTCTCAGGATGAACTGACCTTGTGCCATGACGACCGGCTAAACAACAAAGCGGTTACCATGACAACGCACAATGTTATGGATCCTGGATGGCCTGTGCCACCGCACGCCAGATTGAGGGATTAAAAGTGAAGATAGGCAGTACAAATCACTGTTGGATGAACGAAATTTCATATTTGTAACGCACTACTCATAAGGTTGTCCACGACCGGTTTCGCTCTTTTTGGGGCTCATTAGGTAGGCGCAGTTCCCGGGTTTCCGTCAACCTTATGTCCTACTTGAAACCGAATTGCACGAAATTAGCAAACACACACTCGCTTGCAACATCACAAGCAAGAGACTCAGCTGGGTTCCAGGTGGGACTCCTGCAAAACCAAATTAGTTTGCAAATGAGTGTATTTCGCAAAATTTCATATTGTAACGAAAATATAAGATGATGATCGTTCGTGTGCAACACCCTTCCGATGCCTATCTGCCATACCATCCGAAAGAAGCACGAAGACCCAGATACTGCCAGGTTACCCAAGCCTAGACAAGAGCAGCCGAGATGCCGGGATAGAGTTCCAACCATGTGCCCTCGGGTCGCCCTTTAACCGCTGAGGTCTCTTGAGAAGCGACATAGTGTAACAAGGACAAAGCCACCAGGTTGAACAGGTAACATGTCGGGCTATTTACCCCTGACAAGTCTTGAATCTGTGGCAACTTTTACGCCTAGGCCTGAGTTGCACACGAACCTAAGGAATTTCGGTGATGAAGCGGATAAATGATAGTTGTTTTATCCTTGACTCTTGAAATTCCCCTCGTATGAGAAACTGCCAAACGTCCCGCAACTGAAGCTAATCTATTTTGAGAAGTTGAGAAGCATTTCACAGGTTTTTCATTCTAATTAGGAATCGTTAGCAGTGCGCATCTCGTAAAACTCCAGAGGGTTTCGAACCTCACACAAACTCCTCTCAAGTAGTCTGAAAAGTGAGCTGAAGTATGATTAACTCACCCTTAGGGAGTGCAATCCAGTCTGAAGTCATGGTCACGTGTTCACTAGCTACTCGAGTGATGACTTCTCATACGGAAGTTGTACCCATCGTGGGAATTATTCTTCCTTCTGAGCCGCGTTCGCTGAAAGTGTGAGGAAATTTGGAATTCCCCAACCTTCCGGGTTGACAACCACTGTCCCGATTTAGATCGTGTTCCAGCATATAGTATAGTTCGAATACGGTCTGGTTGTACAAAATCGGTCCGATTACTTTTTTCCACGTTCGTTCAGGGCTCCGCAGGATTCGGTTTTGCCATAATGGAAGGAAGTCCAACCAACGAACCCGGTATTTATATCAAGCAGATCGTGGAAGGTGGGTCTGCAGCAAAGGTGAGTTGTTTTGAATTGTATAAACGGGCATCTTGTGTTGTCCGAACTGTTGAATCGCTCAATGTCTGGTAAATGAAATAGAATAACATGACGGTACGTTTCTGATCTATTCGATAAACGAAATCTGTGTCAACTGAAACCTAGTCAGGTTTACTGCAATGAGGTTACCAACTCTGTTCGACTTACAAGCCATTCACTCGTAACAGCGACGTAAGGCATTTAAAATAGTGTAATGACAGATATCTCTCATAGGATATGGAGGTAAAAGACGACACAGGTGAACTCAGCTGCAACAGTTAAACGACTGGTCAATGAGTTCCTCGTTTTTTTGGAGAACATTACATAAGTCTCGTTAGTGGATAACAATGTTACGAGAGAGTTTCAAGTCTGCATCCTGATTGGCCTTCCATGTACCGTACTGATATTCCCGTATAGTGGATTCAAGGTCACACTTTGAAGGAAGGTAGGCGGTCGTAAAGTCAATGGAAAGGTCACAGCGTGAATAAAAAATCCGGCAGATTTGTGTATATGCACTGCTAATAAGCCCAAATAGGGGCCTATCTTGGGCTCACTGCATTCCACCTTGGTGTAATTGCCCCGGGACGCGATGAGGGCTGTTTGTATGCGATGGATTTGAATGCAATGGTCACCACTGTACTTTCATATCTCGAAACAAGATATAGATGTTCAGTTCGCTGTTGGTCTGTTCACCGATCTTGCAAACGTCTGGTCACCATTCAGGAGACAGCACTAGTTTACGGCTGGTGGGTAGTTCCCATCTTCATTCTTGCGCTTATACGGCTTGAAAAGAACATTTACAAGCTCTAACCTGACTGGCCATTTTTCACCCATCTTATTCGGAGTCTGATTGGTGGGTTCGTAACCTGTGTTGCATTCTGGTCAGACACGCACTGATGCTGTCGAGGTGGGCGAGCAGATGAACAGCCACCTGATCAACCACCAAATATAAATTCAATGAGGTAACACTGATTGCCACAAACGTTTCGCAGTGAACTTACTGCGTCGACTGAATAAAAACAGCTGATATCACAAAGCACATTCAAGGAAGCTGGTACTCTAGGATTCTGATAGAAAGATGCTTTGCTGTACGACGGAGTTGAGGATGACCATCAAAACTAGTCGATAACCGCTGATCATAGCTGAACCCCTGGTGATACCCTGCAGATCAGCGGCGCTGGAAGTTCTATTAATTATAGAGGCATAACGTGACTAGTTTGAGCGCTTTTGTTCCTACCAGGGCATACTCGATGAAAATAGCTGTCACGCATTGGTCTGCTTGCAAGCAGTTGCTATTCACTAGAGCACAAACGGGTCCGATTAGTGTCCAAGTATAAAGTAAGCTCGACGGAGATCCCGGGACATGACCATCCTGATGGGCTGCAAAAGTAATAGCTTATCCGGAGCTTTAGTAGGCTTCCCAAGTAGTTTTGTGACAAGCTAATATTTCCGCCCGTACAGTGCTGACTACCAAGCTCGGTTAACTTGTCATCTCTGAACAACAAGTAAGAGGACGCTTACCTGTTTTGGATAGTCGAAATAGGCTGAGTTTATTCTGATATCCTTCGGAACGCATCCAACTAGGAGTGGAAAAATTCATTTATCACCTAAGAGCATACATATATTCACCTCGGTGCGCCTGACGAGTATTCGACTTTGTTTAAAATGAACGAAGCTCTGGATATCGGTATACTAACCAGGGTGAGTATACTCATGCTAGACTGAGCATCCATGAGATGTGTGATTAACTCGTAATCTCTTCACTCACGCTTCAGCGATGGAAATCACACAACATGGTCACGTGCTGACTGGCTCTTCGAGTGATGACTTCTCAGATGAAAGACTCACTCGTCGTGTGAATTTACTCTTCCTTTGAGCTACTTATAGTTAGTTAGTAGCATTGGTTGATGGAAGTATATGTGATAATCAGTGAAACCCCATCGAGGCGGATAGAAGACATTCGTGGTTTGAGTCTTACGACGAATTTGAGATTTGGGATCCCAAATTCCAGAGTCAGCTCTCATACCAAGTAGGTAGACTTGCACCGATTTTGCTAATCATTCTTGGAGTAAATGTGGAATTTCACTCCGAGTGACGAAGGATCCATTCGAGTCTTGGTGAGTCGGGGGTGGGAGTGGAGTTATCAGCACTTTTGGTGAGGAGAATTGCGCTGATTCTGGTGAATTCAGGCGAACGCAACAGCTGTTCAACACCACTCTCTGGGTCAGAGTCTGCAACCGTTAAATAAAGGGTCGCACGTTCACTTTCTCTGCACGACACCCCTTGTGCGTCTCGATAAAACAGTCTTTGCCATACAGTATCCCACAGTACCGCTTGCTACAAGGCGGTGAGCGATAAAGTTGCCTGATTCCATTCACTGACCTACACCGATCATGAATTCCATTCCATGTATATATATCGGCCCACCCCATGGTTCCGCTCTGCTGAACAAACATAACTGTGGAAGCCGGTGGAGCAAAGTGAGCCACCGGATATTGATTTATTGGAGAGAAAGAGGGAGGAGAACACGGCAAGTTAACTTGTTGACTTTCATTGTGGTGGTTATCCACTTGGACTGCTGGTTCGATGTGACATTTTCCTTTGTTTTCTTACTAGCTTCTGGTGTTCGCTGATCCCGATGCCCGTCGGGGACCATGTTTACAAACCACCCAAGTTAATCACACCACTGACCAACTGCTGGTGGCCGAACAGTTGGTTGTTCGGACTACCAAGAGCCTGGAGGTCACGTGTCTGATTTTATGTGGTGCCCACTCAGCAGGGATGAAATCGCTGCACAGTGCTTCTAGGCTTTCCCGTAACATAGACTTGCTCCACTGATAAGATGAAATCCATTCGAAGACCATTTACCTGAAAGTCAACTTCACTTCGAAATGGAAACATGTATGGTTAGCTCCCACACAACAGGTTAGGTGTGACGCACTTCAGGTTAGCTCCCACACAACAGGTTAGGTGTGGCGTTTCAATGGATGCGATCTGCGTCCCCGACGTCCTACGTGTAATGAGCGTGGTCGCAGAGGGGTAGCGCTCCCTAATCGCTACACGAATGAGCTGAAAGCGCTCAGCTTGTGGTTCGCACTCATGCAACAGATTCGCAATGCATCTATTATCTGTCACACTCCTAACAGTCAATAGCGAAAACGACCAAGTAGGATGTAACGGTTCGAAGCGATCACGTGGCACAAGTAACTTTGTTCGCGAAAACGCCTCATTCGTACAGCTAATTCGTTTTCACAGGGAGCTCAAATGAATACAGTGGAGTCTGTTTTTTTCATGATAGTCTTGTTCAACTGCACAAGAACCATCTCAACCTTTAGTTGGCGCGATGTCTGGGTGTTGTATCGTGAGTGGCCGTCTATTGGTTACGCCTGCACTGAGCCTGCCAGACTACGCGATAAGGAGAAGGTCCAGAACCCTGAACACGGCTGCATTGTCGGGACAAAGCATACAGAGCTTCTGCGTAAATATATAGGATGACTAAATGGCCAATTATGGTCGTTCACTTGTTCGTTCTGTACAGCCAATGGCGGTGTTGCAGTTGTGGACACTTTCAGCCCCACTTCGCTGGTCGCATGTTGCTAAGCCGTGTTTGGTGAGCTCCGCCAACGCAACTGCTATCCGAAACGCGTCGTACCGATGGTGACCTTGGGAATGCGTCACTCTTTGCGCATGTGTTGTTTTCATGTCTGGGCACGTCCTGACACGGGTTTTGCAGTTTAATCGATTGACGCAAGAACATGATGAACGAAAGCTTCAGCTGGGATCTAGTTGAGTCTTTCGTTAATAACAAATCAGTGTGCAAACAATGATTCTATTTTGGGTCCAATGTGGATGCAATTAGAACATAAGGTTGACGAAAATTGAGGGACTGTGCCTACCTGGTGAATCCCAAGAGTTTTCAGCAACCTTATAAGTAGTACTCCGTTTTAATCGGATACGTACATCTCATACGTAGGGTGCACCTAATTTCACGCCTACACCAGACCTGCCCCGAGCTGTAAGGCGTCCGACGAAATCTCCTTCGTTCGCTGTACGTCGGCTTCCATACCATCGTTAAGGCTGTGTCCTTGACCTTTTCATTTTAGTCACTTTGGGGCACTGGACCATTCGACTAGGTGTCAGGCGGAATTCCATACCGACACCGTTCGCAGTTAGCGTTGCTACGGCCGAGGAGTCTATCCTACACAAGACTGGATGAAATTTCGGTTCGCTTGCCGGTCGGCCATCAGGGCGAGCTCTGATTGGTCGAAAGCTTGAACGTAACAGCCAGTCATGTTCCAGTATTGGCCGAATATCTCGAACCAATGGCGCATTGAGAAGGCGTCGGAATTTCCAGAATTTTGTCGCAGGATACACTTTATATACGACGTGGTGTACGCATGTTTTTTCACCTGGTTCTGAGTGTTACTAGACTTTGCGCACCTTTGATGGTTGTTTAAATGTAGGCGGCAGTCTGAATTGCAATACTCTATCAGTACGACCCCCCAAGAATATCAGGAGGGTAAAAAGAAGCAGAAACGTTCTGCAGGGCCCTTAGCGTCAGCCAAGGCTATTCCACATGTCCTTGTGGGTAAGCTGTCTCTAAAAAAGGACCAGACGGAAGTCAGTGAACTTAAGCAAGGGCTAGTAATGTTGGCTCTGAATTGTGGTTTGAAATCTGCAGCGAGTAAAACGGCGGGTAAGCTGTGCACGCCTTTCGAAGTTCACCATACGGAGGGAAGAGGAACACCTGTCTGGAGTACACCAGTACTCGTATCCAAGACTTTGTTTTACCGATTTTTATCTTCCAATTTGCAAGGCTATTTTTAGATTTGTCGCACTTGATTTTTAATAAATCACGGATCATGTTTAGGTCATTCGAGTAAGTAAGTCACACAGGATTGGTTTGATATCTTGCCAAATTTCCAAGGTCATCCGATCTCATTTCAAAAACTCGCAAACACACAAATATGCACCTATGTTACGGACGGTGTGCATACAGAATTCAAAATATGCGGGTTTTGACAGGCCAGTGCGTCAAATTTATCCCCACATTACGGAAACGCACACTCGGGATTGTTTGCTTAGCTCGCCTGTGACGTCAACGGAAGTCAGAAATATTCAAATCGAAAGCATGTGCCACTTTTGAATGAAAACGAAGAGTCATTTGTGATGTTTTTTGGCATTCCGTGGAGTGTTTACCCGAGAATGTGATTGTACCAAATTGAGAATGGCTGTTCTCAGATGTTCTTTTAAAACGTGATATTGTACTGTTTTCGGCGATTTCATAATCCAAGCATTTCGTCTTGATACTCGCTTGTATGTCCTATCGTAGTAATTCGTCTCACTTGGACAATTATTTTCAATGAAGACCACCAGAACAGTTCTTCTCTGATGCTCCTAGAAGGGGGGGACCACGCCCTCAGCTGTTCACAAGTGATAAATAACGAAGTTGAGACAATGAATTTGAAAAGCAGTTACCCATTATGACAGAACGGTAATCAGATATGGATTGGACATGATTCACTATAGTATTGACGATTGAGTACGGCTGGAGCGGTCACGTGATTCCGTTCGCTTGGCTGTAGCGGGACCCTAGGATATCCAGCACCCGAGGCGCCACCGAATCCATACGTTTTCAATCATCAGCTTGCTGGGCATGAAGTTTTTCAAAACAGTTTTTAGAAGAACCCGGAAGTGGCATACTGTTTGGTTCATAAGTCCCTGTTTCAAGGGCACTAACGAGTACATAAACCTAAGGACATGGTCAGAGTACTAAATTCGGTTTGTGGTAGGGGTACCCACGAAAACAGTCAGCCTACGGAACTGTCGTATAATTCCGGATACGAAATTCGCCTGTTGATGATTGCATGTTTGAACTCAGATGGGTGTGAAACCAGAGTTCAATAAAATGACCCTCTTATATGCACTTTTCTAGCACAGCTTGAGCTCGAGTCCTGTCTTGCTTGGTTTACGAGTAGGCAGTCAAAGGTTGTCTGTGTAATCAATCCCCATATTGCCACGCGATAGGAACGGTTGCCTTCCTGTCAGGCTTTCATTTTCTCGGTGGTGATCTACACCAGTCAACACGAGTTTTGCTCACAACCTCGGTCGATAGGTCCAGAAGACGGTTATTAACGTGCCATCGGTCAAGTTGATAACAGCTCAGCGATTCCATCAAATTTAATCCCGTACAAGATGATCACGGTAGGCTGTAAGGAATACGCTGCGTGTAACAGCTCTATCACAAAATGATTTGGAAAACAAATCAGAAGTGTGTTCATCGGAAGTGAATTTTTGCTCTAACCGCGTGCGGCACGGAACGTCTGAGTAGACGTATTGTTCCGTAAGCGAATGACTGGCAAACAACTCGGAATTAGCAGACATCAATTTTGGTCACGTAAAATATCGAAGTTTATTTACCAAGGCCAGATGAAAATTCTTCATTACGACATCAGTCCTGAGCTGAGGACAGGCTACTTAGCATTTTCAGTAGTTAGGTGTATGGTAAAAAGATTTTCAGGATGCCGGCACAAGAACACTGGAGGAAAACATACGAACCAGTTGTTGAATCGTTTCATTACTTTTCACTCCACGCCGTGTTAGGCGGAACTCCACACGCATCCTTCTTGACCGCTCGCACTCAGGTGCTGCCACGGCCGACAAGCCCATCCCACGCAAGACTGGCCAAAAATTCGGGACGCTTGCCGGTCCGGAATCAAGCCGAGATCTGATTGGTAGAAAGTCTGGGCCCAACAGCCAATCATGACCCAGTATTGGCCGAATGCCGTTTGCCAAAGCCGCATCCAGAACGCATCGGAATTTCCAGAAAGTTATTACCACCTACGTTATATACATGAAGCGCTGTACAAGTGTTCCTGACTTCGTTTTGGGTGTTAATATAACTGGTGCACATTTAGTAGGTGTTTTGACGTGAACGCTAGCTTGGGAGGCTCAGACCGAGAACTAAACTGAGAAAAATACCGCTACTAAAATTGGCGACTGGGATGGAATTTGTACCCACGAGGGGAAACCCCAGGATAAGGTAGGCTGTATCCGAAAGTGAACTACAATCTCCATGGGAGAGGCCTTCTGGCCTTGGAAATCATTTGGATAAGCGATTAAAATCTTGTGATAAACGGATAAGAAACTGATTTTGGTCATATTTCGACCCCCACACACCAGGACACTAGACCAGAATCTTCCTGACGAAGCAGTGGTGTGGCCTTAACAAGACTTAACACGGGACAACTCTGATTCCACCGTAATCTTCAGGTGTTTCAGTTTTCAGGCAACTGAGTTGATTTGTCGGTAGTGTGAGGAGACTGAACAATTATCGATGAAGATTTCATCCTGTAAGTGAAGCCAACCTTCAGTGAAGAGCTGTTTCTTCTCACTGGGAAACCTGAGCAGTGCGTGTCTCACGAATCTAGGACGTCCAGGCTACTAGTTTGTACACCTAGCCGCCTGACCTGCCGCCAGCATGCAGACCGCATATAGTGTCACTCCCCGCCCACTCAAGTTTCGATTGTCTTCCCCGATGACCACTTCCCAGGTCCAAAGGTTCAAGCCACTTGTGAATTATCCCTCCTTCTAAGTTACTTATTATTTGTTGACGGATGTGTTAGGTGGGGATTCGTCCTGTAAGTGACGCCAGTCTGCCAGGGTAACTGCATACCAACGCCCATCTTTCCGCACAAGGACTTTGAGTTTTTTAGACATAACATACTAGTCATAAGGCTGCTGAATCTTGAGGAAACTCCGAGTCCGCGCTTACTTGATGAGCCCTAAGAAGGGCTGCCTTGAGAGTAGTATGTTACGTCCATACAATGTGCTGGGATACGTCGAAAAATGGGACACTAGTGTGGCATATTCAACTGGAGAAAAACGTCGTAAAACGAGAAATTTAAGTGTCTCCCGCTAAAGGTTCTCCTTGTCTCTCTTGAATCGTCCCCCATAACGTTTCCCATAAAATAATCACTTGGGTTCCGAAATACATCCTCTCCTCATAAAGCCCTCTACTTTGTAAAGGAAACTACTCACAAGGTTGCTGAAAACTCTTCGACAGCCCACGACCGGTTTCGCCCTTCTTGGGGCTCATCAGGTGGGCGCAGTCCCCGAGTTTCCGTCAACCTCATGTTCTACTTGAACTTCTTCTTTGTGTCCGCGTTTTGTCCGCTCTGCGCCATGTTCGTGCTCCATACGGTCATCGCTAGCGCAACTCGAGGGGTTCATGATTATCTGTTATGCGGCTGATTTATTCCATAGAAACATACTTCTCTGGAATTCTGAACTGCTACTGATAATTTTTCACGACTGTACTGCATCCCCCCACTATCAATGAAACTACGAACACTACTCATTTACCTCGTGTTTCAGAATGGACAACTTCGTCCGGGAGATAGGCTACTTCGGGTGAACCAGAAAGATGCCACTCATGCGTCGTACGACACCGTCCTCGACTGGATTCGGGCTGCGAAACATGAGGTAAGTTGCGTTTGTCTTATTGACATGCTACTCATAAGGCAACTGAAAACCGCCCGGTTTCGAACTTGTTGGGGTTTATTAGGCAGGTGTACTCCCCAAATTTCCTTCCATTTTATGTTGAACCCAGACCCCAAATATACAGCGAGATACACTCATTTGTAACCTTGATGCTGGCAAAAGAATTTACTAAATCCCTTATTGTCGGCGCTCTCCAACTTAATGTATTGCACAATACTGCTGCCTGTTTCACCTGGTACAATATTCGAGCTATCGTAGGATATTTTTTGATAGAAAATACTACTGAATGTTACCATAAAAATACCTGCAAAATTTTATCCTCGCATATGTCTGAATGAAAAGACGTTTTCATAGAGGAGAGCACTCACAGGGTTGCTGAAAAGTGTCCAGTAACTCACGGCCAGTTTCATTCTTCAGGTAGGCGCAGTCCCCGACGAACCCTCAGCCTTATGTTGGTCAGTTCGACCAAACCGTCAGTTTTTCTCGTGGAGCAGAATACATCGTGTTGCACATAACGATGGACAATTACTTTGCTAGCCCGAAGACTGCATGAGTCCCAAGAAAATCAGGTGGAACAGTTCCAGGAATACCACTGACGCTGAAATCAGAATCAACAACTTGATGACTACTGCTCACAGCAAGCAATTGCCAAAGTGACGAACGCAGACAGAAGACTAGTATTCCCTGGAATTACTTTGAACAAGGGAGGCGTAGGTGCCAGTTGGTTGAACGTTTTTCCACTACTGCTCACAGCAAGCAATTGCCAAAGTGGCGAAGGCAGAGGGAAGACTGGTATTCCCTGGAATTACCCTGAACGAGGGAGACTAAGGTGTCAGTTGGTTGGACGTTTTTCCAGTCAGTGAGCAGGTCGTGGACAATTCAACCCTACGTTTTAGATCGTCCATTTGGTCAGAAAATGTTGGATATTGTCTTAATTGATGCATGGGTGTCTGAAGAACATCATGTTTTAGCTGCTAATGAACTTGTGAGCTATCCGATTACATTGGGGCGTAAAGTGAACTCAATCGGATTTAAACAACACATGACACAAATCAGTAGTACGTAACACAAATTAGTAGCACGTGACGGATCAGGGATGAATATGACTGGTTTTGGCAAGAGCTTACGTTGAATGAACATAGGAATACACTCAAACTGATGTGTCGTACATAAGGATATGTAATTGTACGGAGGCCAGCCGTCCCTAATAACCGAACACCACATCATTTGGACGGATGTGTCAGGTGCAGGACACGGGCCAAACGAAGGTATACCCTGATTGGTCAGAATGCCAGCCAGTCCGAGTCAAGCACCTTAACTCGACCTTTCTCGTCCCCTCACGGAGATTCTGGCACGACTTTGTGGAACACTCTGTGACTACTCCATAAATACAGCTGTAATAATTTTTCTTTTTCTCCATAAAGGGCTGTGTAGAGCTACCGTGTCTTTTGGTACGCCATAGTGGGCGGAGCAGGAAGCCAACGGACCGATACAGAGTTGCATGATCGTCCACCAAGTCACAACAGTAATCGAGCAGATATGTGTTGAAAACGTCACATGCTCTTTATGGACGGTAGATCATGTGACCAGTCCTCATTTCGGAAGATGAACAGTGATACACCATGAGTAATTTCATGTATATATATATATATATATATATATATATATGTAAATGTACAATTTAAGCTCGATAAAATGTCGGGAAGCGCCCAAAAGTACATGTGCAGAGAGTGATGCATCCCCAAGGTCACCATCGGCCCCACACGTTCCGGACTGCAGGCGCGTTGGCAGAGCGCACCAGACACGGCTTATCAACATGCGACCACTGAAAGTGTTCACGATCGGAACATCGCCATTAGCTGTACAGAACGAACAAGTGAACGACAATATTTGGCCGTAATTAGTCATCCTATATATTAACGCAGACACTCTGTATGTTTTGTCCTGACAATACAGCCATGTCCCAAGTTCTTTGTCTTCTCCCATCGCGTAGTCTGGCAGGCTCAGTTCAGGCGTAACCAACAGACGTCTACCCACGACACAACCGAAAGTTCATAGGTTAAGGTGCGAAGTCACTAACGGACAGGTTTTTGGTTCGAACCCATCCTCGGCATCTCCTATTTGGGCTTGAACAAACTGGTACTGCCACTGTCCTCTTGCTTTCTCAGGGTGGCATGAAAATTTTGCAGTGAAGGGATGTTTCAGTGCACTGATTATTTTTTTAAATGTATGTTTCTGTGACCGTAGGTGTATACTCTCCCTATTGTCCGATTTTGTTGCATGCTGATCCGTACGTATTATCATAAAAGCTATTGATTAGTTGATTAAACTGACCGTAGGTGTATACTCTCCCCATTGTCCGATTTTGTTGCATGTTGATCCATACGTATTATCATAAAAGCTATTGATAAGTTGATTAAACGTTCAAACTTATCCCAGCATGACGTTTGTTACTCAAAGTATGTCTTACAACTGCACAAAGTACAACTAATCCGCTCAGGTTGTTGATCGAATCGCATGCACAATTGTGCAAGTCAAACGGATGGACTAACACCCATCAGTGAGTGAAACTCACTTGTTGTGCAACTGGTTCAACAGTTGTGAGTTCGGTCACGTGCCGCCCGCTGTGCAAAACATACAGCCATTGTACCGTCATGTGGTATAGGAAAACGGGCTGCATTGCAGTCTGTTCAGCAGCGTGTAGTAATTTACTTAAATTGAATGCGGATACCTCACGTTTTATGGTGTCTCCTTGAAGCGTAGATCCTTTTCAAGTGATCGCAAGAGCGTAAGAGATTGTCATTCATCATGCAATTCCAATAACTGGACGTCAGTGGCAGAATGTGACATTCCGCCACACCCCATGCTCTCTCACCACACAACATAGATGACAAACGTCGCTGATCACGTGAGCTGATGTAATTCAGTTCGAATCATACAGTATACCTAACTTTGCGGACTACTATCTTTCCAAGTATGAAAGAAATCGTTCAAAACCAAATCGAAATTATTCAACCACGCTGACAACCGGTGAATCTGAAGAACACGCAACTGACAAGTGGTAGTCAGCTATCTATTTGGACGAAATACCAGCGAGCTAATCTGGGTTTCCCCACATAAATCAGAGCTGTCGAATTTGAAAGTGGAATTAATCATTCTAATCTGTTTGCCAAAAACGTTAGCTGCATTTTCCAACCGGAATCCATTGAAACAAGATTAATGTGCTATTGGGTGCTTTTTTTAGAATTTCGTACAATCTGTCCAGTCTTGTGTTCAAGTAGAACATAAGATTGATGCAAACTTTAAGACTGCACCCAAGTGAAGAGCCCGTGCTCAATTCCTGGAACTGTCGCTGAACTACCCCGGTGAAGACCAGGTACACTTTAGATAAATCCGGTCAGTTGTAGAAAAATCCTTGGTAAGGGCAACCCGACCACTTCACCGTTTTCGCCTCCCCTAAATGGCTTCCTTCGGGCATTGGTTTCCAATAAAATAGATCTCTTATTGGTTTGCTGTTCGACGCGTCCAGCACAAAAGTGTGCGTGTGCAGCACTTCGCCACCATTCCAAGTTCGTCCGGATGATCCACTTGAGTGACAAGCAGCTCATTCAAATTCAAAGAATTTTCGTGAGATTGCTACTTAGAGTTTGTAGTTGGTCAGGAGGGATGAAAGAGTAAGTCCAAATTCATCTTTGAGGTGAAGTCAGCTTATGCTGAAAAGCGAAGGATCACTGTATGGCTGTTTCAGTGTTAGGACTCAGCAACCATGCACGATTCAAATCCCGGACATCGCATCATTCGGGTCTATTTACGGAATCAAACTACGTTTGTAACTAATCCAGCAAACGCCACGGAATGCAAGTCAGAGAGGTTAAGTTGGCCAATCAGAACCAGATCGAGACTCATCAGAATAACCAAACTCGTTGAGAGATCACCTTCCCCAAAAGCACGTGGACACACTCGCGCACACAGCTACTGAATGCATGACCAACAAAGCACAGCTCGGGCTCGCTTGACAACAACGCATTGATGAACAGTCAAAACTTACAAATCCAAGTTTCCTCACATCTTACAAACGAACATTAAACTGTTCCGACGAGGAGAAAGTCATCTAGGACGGATGGGTCTTCTTCCCGAGAATCGATCGACCAAGGAGCCATTCACCTACTGGTCATGTGATGCCATTCAAAGATGGTTGCGTCCAAATGTGGGGTGACCGCATCCTTGATCATCCACTTTTTGACGAACAGTAGAAACACTCAGATAGACAACCGTTCTTCATTTTTACAACACCACTTCGCGTGGAAAGCCACCTGGACAGCGCCGATTCACATTTCATCCTCATACTAAACAAAATCATTCGTTCATATTCACACTACTCTCCTTTGAACAATTGTCCACCTGTTCTGGCGTATTTATTCAGGTGAGTCCACACCAAAGGCGGGAACCACTGGTCTCGAGTTTCGCTCTCATTAGAACTCATCAGCAGTGTATATCCAATGGCCGTGCCGCGATTTGAACCCCAGACATCTGACATGCAAGGCGAGCGTGTGACCACTACTCCACCAACGCACGTTGGACGCATCTGAATTTTCACGTCTGAACAGGCAAACGTGTTCACACTTGAGCGATGCGAGTGGTGTGCGAGACGACTCATCGAACGACGACCCAGTAACTGTCCTGGTTGTGACGATCGATTGACCCGCCAGTCAGGAATTCCCAGTCGGGTAGCGTCACGGGCGTTACCTTTGATGCAAACTCACCAGAATAATTACGCCAGAACAGGAGGACGGCCGTTGAAACGTGATGTGAATACGAATAATACATACCCCGCAAAAGCCCACAGTGGAAATCGTTCGCCCTATTGACTGTTTCAGGGTTTGCAAATTTGAAATGATTTCACTCCTGTGATAACTCTCCCCCCCGGCAGACCGCCTTGGTCAGCAGCAACCACGGGCTGGGAAGACTTACTTCCAACTAACAGTTCGGTGGAAGGCTTTACAATCACCGTGGATTCAAAACTTCCAGAATCCCACACATCCGAACTCATAATCCGTCCTTTCTCATCAAATATTGAACATGCATGAGCAGTTTAATTCATCGGCCCATTCATGAAAGATGAGTGGTTTGACACACAAGTATCCAGATATTTTCGTAGCATCCATCGATTAGCTGTCCATAATATTTGCACCAGAATTTCATTCCACTCGGAACACTGTCCACGATATCTGATTTTGATTGAATCCAGGGGCAACGCCCAATGTATGTATCACAGAAACCTAAGGAAATCCAGGGGATCAAAACCATTTGGCCTAGTCACTGGACATATGCACCTGCCATAAGCTCCAGTGCTGTGAACAATGAAGGCACGGTCCAAGGTCAGTTGAGCACAAATTACTGCATTATTGACGAACTTCGAAAAGTACTCGTCCCGAGTTAACTAGAGAATGTGATTACCTAACAACACACCAATTTCAACCAGAAAAATTGCTCACGAATGACCTCTTTCAGCATTTACCTCTTCGGTCAATAAAACCACAAGGTCACATGATACAACATTGAAAATCAAGTGAGCTGGCAATTTTACATATCGATCAGTCGATCAGTATTGATCGACGCAATAAATCGATTAGATCTGGTCTTGAGCTCTAGTTCAGTTGAATTGTCGAATGGTCGGGGAAGTAAAAAATCGATATCGTTCGTTTTCGGTTAGAAAATTCGAATCAACCGCACGATCTGGTTGTGCACATCACGGAACAACAGATTGATCTGCTTGCGTCTGAGGATCTGTGCTGGTACGTGGAACCAGTCCGGGATTCAAAAGCTTGACAGCGACTTCTTCAGTGGTGGAGAATATTAGATCGGTGTGATTTAGTAAACATGACGCTCAGTTTCAACTAAACGACACGTATTTGTGACGCAGTGAACTGGCAAGTACTCATCAGATCTATAACCTCGCCAACGTGGTTTGCAGAATACTGATAAGCAGGGAAAATATTTTGTCGTTTGTGCGTTTTGGACGAGAACCTATTTATCCAGAATTTGAATTCGACACGCGATACAAACTGGTGGCATGAAATGTTTCGCTTGACGTCATCCTGAACTGAGTTGCTGCCTTGATAGACTTTCCCGGACGGCAGGCATAGGAAAATGTTTTTGCGTATGGATCACCCCCCACCCCTGTCTTTTTCACTACACTTACTGGGGCCGGGCGACCGTTTGTTTGAACTCCACACATTTAGAAAACGAACTTCCAGATGTTGGGATTGATGGGATCTTTTCCAGATAAGCCCCGCCACTTTTTGCCAGCTCCAATTTAATGTACACACAGCCTTGACCTACTTTTGATGAAAACACAATTCCTTATCCGCCTCTAGGCTCGCTTTGTGCAGAAATTTTCTCCGTTCGGACGTAAAACCTTAAATGAACTTTCTGACACTTTCAACTCTCGTTCATGACAAGGAGACGGCAATACGTTTTTTGCAAAGCCACAGAGTGATCCATCAGCAACAATGGCCACCAAATGACACTTTCACCTGTTTCTGACAGGTGCAGGTGTAATGCCCGACAGTGTCGGCAAGAAATGGGGTCTTCGAAAGGGAACTTGCCTGGGGCGGTCTAGGATGGAGTTTAGGCCAGTAATTCTATTCAGTTGTTGCTGGTCCCCAAAATTTGGCAAAAATCAAATTCTGTTCAGAGGCATCATCTATTAACCACACGACCGTCGTTGACTGGAAGAACTTTCTTCGCGAAGTCTGCGCCTGGCGGCTTTTGCAGACTCCAACAGTTATCGGTGTTATCGATATCGATGAAATGCTAACATCTCGCCGTAATAACCACGTACGGCGAGTCTTTCTCCAGCAGTGGATTTTCGGAGGGATCTGCCGGAAAACTAAAGAGGTGTTCATGTATGTAGTGCCAGGTTGAACTGCGGCCACTTTGATGGACACAATTCAGGACTGCTTCTCTCCCGACTCAATCATCATCTCCGATATGTGGGTATCATACCAAGGAATTGAAACGAAGATTGACATGAATTATATTCATGAAACGGTTAGTCATGCCATCAAATCTCTTTGGCACGTCTACAAGATGCAGAATAAACGCCAATGCGGCAGGCACCGATCTTTAGTGGACAGCTAGTTGTGTGAGTTCGTTTGGAGGCCAAGGTAAAAAAACGGACCTTTTCATGCGGATTATTAATGACATGTCTCAATTTCACCCTCTTCAATAAAAACTAAGAGCATAAATTTTATATCTTCTTTTCTCTATTCTCTTTTGGGTGGCGGGGGTTAATTTTTTGGCGGGACTTATCTGGAAAATACCCCTGCATTTTTATAGCTTATCACAAAAAGTGTCCACTTGTACGAAACGCAAATGAGTAGTATGCAGATCAGACGATGATGATCACCGTCTTCATCCGGTTGGCGTCAGCAGACATACGACAAGCTCTGAGCACAAAAACCTTGAGAGAGACTTACCACGTGTCTTTAGGTTGATGAATGTTCTCTGTGACAGGATGTACACCTTAGCAGCACCTGTTTGTCTACTTGATCATTGTTCAATGGCCCTGGCATGATTCAGATGAGCAACGCCGGTTACACGCGTATGATCTTTGGCTATACACTGAATCATGAAGGAACCAATCAAAACGTCGGATCAATCACCGAGTTCAACCGCCCACGCACGCCGTGTAGCTAACAGTGACGCGTGAAGGACGAAATGTGTGAATGGGAACAAAGATGACTCAGTCAAAAGGGGGATGCAACATTCGAAAACTGAATACCTGGTTCTATTCGGTAGCTTTTTCTTTCAAAAGGTTTAAAATGACATAAGGTTAGATTTGCCGTAATCAAGCCGAGAATGGCACAGGTCTGATGTGTGCACAGCCATCGAACGATGGCAAATTAAATTATCTTTGGTCCACGGCGTAAAACTATGTTTCCTTCCCACATTTCATCGATAATCCCTAAATTTTTTCCATCAGATTCGACTACTGGTTAGTCGCTGGTGCTACAGTTCTCAGCCACACAGCCCCGAGGAGGTGCCTAGCCCCAGACAGATCCGACTGTCGGTTCCACAACTACTCGGTGATTTGACGAGTGCTTTCAAATTCTTGGAACCTAGTCAGCGATCACGCAAGGCATTGAGTGTGGGGATCCCAGAACCCGGTCTTCTGGACGAGGATAACGGTGAGTTTTTTTTTTACCATTGCAATGCATTATTAAACGTCAGCTGCTCACGGATTAGGCTGAAGAGTATACTTGTTACAAGAAACTTTGATTTCTACGAAAGATAAGCCACTTTGGGGATCAATTTATCACTCTTTTGAACTCACATCACAAGTCAGCACTAAACAGAACCACACGGACTAGACTAAAAACAGCATTCTTCAGGGTTTTAATGAAGGAGTCAGAGCGTTCATGAAGCCAACTACATTTGAAGTCAACTATTCATATTTGACAATGGTCACAGAATTCGAAAAATAACCCGCAGTATTGCTTACTGAGGCCCTGATAGTACCCCGAATAGCTATGAACATTTTGTTCTTATGGTCGCCTGTGTGCCTTTGTCGTCCGATCAACTGATCAATAGTCTGGACGGCTTCAAATTATTAAACAAGGCCACGTGATTCTCTCACTGACCGTACCGCTTCTATTACTCTCACGAATTTGAACTACTGGAGACCTCCTCTCGCGACAAGTCGAAGACACTACTGACAGCTTAGGTTCGATGGGCTGATGACATTTACTTGAAGCGCTCACCTGAGAAAATGGAACTCAAGAAACCCAATAACTGAAGGACAGCCGTACATCAGAAACATTTCCGAGAGGATCCAAAGGATACTACAGCGATGTTATTCTAGAATGGTCCCAAGACCAACAAACATTGCGAACAGCAATTCATGTAACTCTCGTTCCTCTCCGTACATGAAGGCTAGGAAGGATACTAATTCAAGTCTGACTGTATTTCAAGAGAGAACATTCTTTTGGTAGTGTGAGGAGATTTGGGATTTTTGTGGGATTTCGTTCTGTAAGTGAAGCTAATCTATGCTGAAAAGCCGAGAAGCACTGTACAGCTGTTTCATCCTTATTGGGAATGATCAGCAGTGCGCATCTCACGAAACTCCGAAGAGTCTCGAACCCGCGACCTCCCGGCTAGTAGCTTGAACACTTGACCGTTCGGCCACGAGTGGCTGATCA